TTGGTGTGCCAACAAGATAATACAGAAAAGAAGAAGGTGGCGGGTACGTTGGAACCCCCCTATTCCAAGCAGACCTTGGGAGAGTGTTTCCATGGCCTTCATTAAAGGCTTGCCTCAGGTGAACGATTTTACTTCATTATTTGTGATTGTAGACAGATTTTTAAAGTATGCCACTTTTATTGCTGCCCCAAAAATATGTACGGCGGAAGTTACTGCTCAGTTGTTCCTCAAGCATATTGTGAAGCTTTGGTGTCTTCCGCTGGATATAGTCAACGACAGGGATACTTAATTTACTAGCCAGTTTTGGACAACTTTATTTGAACTATTGGGCACACAGCTTAACCTTTCCACCAGCAATCATCTGCAGACAAATGGGCAAACCGAGCGGGTTAATGCAATGCTGGAGGAATATCTCAGACACTATGTCACAGCAAACCATGACAACTAGTTGAATTTACTTGATGTAGCCCAATTCAGTTATAACCTCCAACAGAGCTCTTTCCCTGGAATGAGCCCATTTGAGTTGGCAACTGGCCAACAGCCTCGTACCCCGTATGAAGTTGTCAAGAAGAAGTCTCAAGGGAGATGTCCTGTAGCATATCGTTTTGCTCGGGCCAATCAGGAGCGGACCGACGAGGCAAAAGACTGTTTAACTAAGGCGGTGAAGAGGATAAAAAAGTGGACAGACGAGAAGAGGAGGGCAGTAGAGTTCGAAGTGGGTGACAAAGTAATGCTGAAATTAACCCCACCAATCTAGAACAAGATATCTCGAAAGTCTGCACACAAGGGACTAATCCAGCGCTATGACAACCCTTTCCTTATAACAAGGAGGATAGGCAGGTTGGCCTATAGGCTGGATCTTCCCAGTCATCTCAAACTTCATCCAATTTTTCATGTTGCCTTCTTGAAGCCTTATATTGAGGACCCGGAGGACCCTAACAGATACATTCGGCGTCGGGCTCCTCTAACAATCAGAAAGCAATTCACAGAAATAGCTGAAGTTATCCTTGACCATAAGACTGAGGGAATGAGTAAGAAAAACAGAAGAACTCATTACCTAGTCAAGTGGAAAGGGAAATCATCGGAGGAAGCCACTTGGGAGAAAGAGACAACATTGTGGCAGTTCGAGGATCTCATCAAGCAATACCATGCCTCCATTTCAACGAGGTCGTTGGATACTTCAGGTGGGGGTGACTTGTCACACCCTAACTGACTTGGGTGCAAATGACCGGTCTTGGTGGCACCTTACACCAAGGCATGCCATAAGTTGGAATCAAGGTGATGCGGCTAAGTGGTTCGACAGATTGGGGCGAACCAAGACAACATGAGACCACCCGGTTGAGTATGACAGCACATGGTGGGCTCAATTAAAGCAATGTGGGTGCATAACTTCGGATTGCATGGCATGGGTTGAACCTAGCATGCACATTGGTTCGTGAAGTAAGGCTGGCTGCTGAATGTGGGCACATGACCGGCACATGGTTGCTCAATGCATGTGACCAGGAGGATGTGGGCAGTTGCAGATGCTGAGACACAGTCAAGGCAGTTGCTGAGGCAGTTTTGGGCGTCCCTAGTTTGAATCTAGTCCAGATGCATGCTGATGAAGGGTAGTTCCACATCAGTTACTAAAAGGGGTGGAACTGCCTACCAGGTGTCGCACAGAGACCAAGCCTGCTAGTCAAGTATGCTATGGAATAGCAAAAACGTGTGTAACTACCCCTTGGCAGATGGGGGTGTCATTTGACTTACTCCTGTATAAATAGGGGTGCTTGAACATTCTGATAGGGAGAGAGTGTTCCGGTTTTGAGAGTTTCTTGTAAATTGTTGAGTTCAATATATAAGGTTTGAGAGTTTTGTCCCAGTAAATTCGTGTGTGCCTTCTGTGTGAGTTTTTGTCCTTTATTCTTGAGTTTGTGTGTGGCTGGTTGCAATAGCAATGCCTTCACAGATAGCCTCGAAAGAAAAACGAAAATTACCCCGTGACAGTTAGGTACATGGGCATGCGGATACCCAAGTTTTATATAAGCTTTAGTTCTGGCTCGTGATTGTGCTTTTAACCATATATCCCAACATTTATGAGCAATATATAACCCAAGTTCAGTCACAAACTCATGCAGTTCTTAATGAGTAAATAACTTGTTATTTTCACAAACGTAGAGTTAATTTTCATTGAAGAGTAATATACTTGATGTACAAACGAAAAGGAAGTCCCCTGATTTGTGTAACAACAAAGGAACCCCTCTAATTAGTGTTGTAATGATAAATCTGAGAGGGTTGCTCTGCTATGAGTATCTCTGACAGATTCATCCAACAAAAATATGTTCTATTATCCTCCAGTCCTGGAAGGCCACTCCCGATTAAGTAAGGCATCTGTTATGTGCATTCCATTTCCATTTCTGTACTAATAGATTATTCTGAGGTGAATTCTTGAACTTCAATGAGGCCAACCTATCCCTAATGGTGTGCTTGATGAGGTTTAAAAGAGTGCAGTGATCCTTAAATTGTGGTCAAAGATTTTGCTTTTTCTTTTCTTCTCGAATATGATACTCATCTGAGGAGCTGAGCTTTAGTACCACAACCAGCATAGCTTTCCCTCTCCATCGTTGAGCAACCCAACTGATCAAGTCATTTCAGGCCATTAGTTTTACTATATCTCCACCTTGAAATAGAATTTCCCTCCATTTTCTGTAGGAATATGAATATTAAAAAATAAAAGGGTATATCCCTAATGGTGTCCATTTCATTTCGAAACGGACGAAACGTTTTCATTTCCGTTTCCAAAGAGAGACCAAAACGAGTCGGCGATTTAATCAAAATTCTATTATTTCGAGGTGTTTCGGAATGTTCCGAGATATTTCAAGATGTTTATATTAATATTTATCAAAGAAAGTGGAATGAAGAGAGAGAGACAAAGAAATTCTTATTAAGATAAACTAACTGTATTAAAAAACGTTCAAGTAGAAAACTACACAATAACAATCTTTTATACTAGGACAAAATATAATAACATAAATGACTAATCTACCCCTACTACTAATATAATAGATTACTATAACAGTTTCTGACATGTTTTCACTAACGTTTCACGTTATTGAAGATGTTTTCTTATATATTGACCAATGTTTTGGAAATAGATTCTCAAATTGTTGTTCGTTTCCTTTTGTTTCCGAAACACTTCTAAACTATTTTTGGGACTTTTCGGTGACCAAAATAATGCATCGAATTTTTTTTTTGATCCCTGCTCTCCATACAGGATGCAATTTGACACCAATTGTGCAGTAAATAGGTCCTGTGATTCTTTTTAAACTTAATGGTTCAATTGACACCAACCAAGCGGCAGCGAAGCTGCCTCTGCTTCTCAATAAAGTGTTTAGGGGAATTCCATAATAATTTTTTCGATGCACAATGATTTTTTGAAGTTTAATATGCTTGCTGTAAAATAATTATCAATCTAATTGCCAATGTGCAAGAAAATGCACAATGATTTTTTATCCATGACACATTATGTGATTAATGATATGTACGTGGGTGCAGTAGCCACAAAATTTGTCATAGAATTGGTCGGGATGGGGATGCAATTGAGCTTATTAGTTTTTATCCCTGACACTTGATATGATTCAAGATCTGTATGAGATTGCAGTGAATTTAGTGAGAATTATTATTGGGGAAAGTAGTGAATTTCCTATCATTGTAAGCCTACTCCTGGGATCTGCCATAAACTCATATTTTTTTGCTTTGATTATGTAAGAATTCACTAAACACATTTAGAAAAGGTTCCATAATATATGTTATTTTGTGATGATATAGTATTGACTGATGAAAATAAAGTAGAAACTGACAATATATGTGAAGGTTGGAGAGAATCTTTAGAATCGAATGGATCCAGAATAAGTAGAAATAAATTCGAATATATATAATGTATTTTCAATAAGAGGAGAAATTGAAATAGGGATGTTAATAAAGATCTAAGACTAAAAATTGAAATAGGGATGTTAATAAAGATCTAAGACTAAAAGATGTCAAAGAAAAAACAATTTTAGAATTTGGGGTCAATTAATTATAGGGAGGTAGAGATTACCAATGAGGATGTCAAGATTTTTTTTTTGGATTGGAGGATGCGAATAATAATATGGATGTGGTAAATCAGAAAATAAACAACCTCGAGACCAAGGAGGGGGTCGAACCGTCGTAAAACCATAGAAGAATCACTAATAGAAAATAACTTGAGAGAGAATTGACTTGGGTGGTTTAGACATGATTATAGAAGATCTAGTAGTGCACCAGTTAGGCACCAATTAGGAAGAGTGACTTGTTACATATCTATGGTTCTGCAAGAGGCAGAGGTAAGTTTGAATGAATTCGAAAGACATATTAGAAAAGGATAGGTAGATTACAGTTGAACAAGAAGTATGGTACTTGATAGAGCACAATAGAGAAAAAAGATTCATCTAGGTGGCCCCAAATAGTTAGGATGACAACTTTTTTGAAGCGGATTTGAGTTGAGTTTCTATCCCCACCAAAAAATAATTAGGAACTCTTTGTTCTTTTTTCTTTTATGGGTGGGGGGAGTAGGACAAAGAACCTGGGAACTTTGGTAGTGGAGCCCAGTATCTTGAGGTTGGAGCAAGGAAATGACTTTCGGTTTCATAGTTTCCCTAGTAGTTGGTTACTCTTGAAAAAATTTTGCACTTCTTTGATCACCTCTGCTGCATCAGTGGTGTGATCCTACCGCTGCTAGTTGTTTATGCCGTCTTGCATGCTTTTTTTCCTTGACTGTTTACGATTAATTGAGGTAAACTTCTATACTAGTTCTTTTTTGTTTAGTTAACTTTCATTGAAAAAGTGATGATGACATTATTTATATTGCAGATGATCACATATACATAAATTGCGGTGGTGAACAAATATCAATTAATAATAGTAATTATGAAGCTGATTTGCAACCAGAAGGGGCATCGACTTTTTTTCTTAGTGCCAGTAAAACCTGGGCTTACAGTAGTATGGGAACATTCATTGGGACAAGTCGCAGACAATATATAGCAAAGGAAACATGCAATATTACCATGGCTGATGCACCTTTGTACATGAGCGCACGCATTTCCCCGATTTCCCTGAAGTATTATGGATTTTGTCTGAAAAAAGACAAATACGTGGTGAAACTTCACTTTGCTGAAATAACATGGCAAGATAGCAAAGATCCTAGAGGCAAGGGGAAGCGAGTTTTTGATGTTGAAATCCAGGTAAATTATCATCTCATGATTCCCTAACTCTAGAAGTTGCATTTATTGTGATATATGATCGCTGCAGGGTGAGAAGAAATTGACGAATTTCAATATAGCAGAAGCAGCAGGGGGTGTCAATAAGGATATAACAAAGGAGTTTAATGTTACTGTGAATAACTCACGGCTGGAGATTCATTTATATTGGACTGGCAAAGGCTCAACATTTGGCCCGAGTAAATATTATGGTCCTCTTATATCCGCCATTTCCGTAACGCCTGGTATAATCTATCCACTTTGTTTCGTTTCTTTCAGCTGCCATGTGGTGTTGGTTTCTTCAGTATAACTCAAATTTCTTTTCTCAATTTCTTAATTCAGTTCCAAAACCTAGCAAAAGCAGATTGCCTGCTGTGGTTATTGCCGGGATTGTAGGATCTTCCTTATTTTTCGTCACATTTATTTTAGTTCTTTTCTGGAAGTTGTGCGGGTTTGGTGACAAAAAACAGCACGATAAAGGTAAGAAAGACTTGGTCATTATATAGCTTAGTTTTATCACCGTGATATCAATAAGCTTCTTGATCATTCATGCAGAAAAACAGCATCTTCCTCGATTGTTCTCCCCCATTTGATCGCTAATATATGGAAACAGAAATTAAAAGGCATATTGTTATTTCCTGTAGGAGTTTACGACTTCCATGAAATAAAAGCTGCCACACAAAATTTCAGCAATGCAAACAAGCTAGGTGCAGGAGGTTTTGGAACTGTCTATAAGGTCCGTACCGTTTCATTTCTTGTGTTGAAATTCGAAGTTTAGCATTCAGTTCTTTTTAGGTTATGTCACATGGACATGTATACGCTTCCAATTTTGGATTGTGCATAGGATTCGATCCATCTGATTTTAAGTTCTAGATGGACATAGGGGCACACATGAAATGAAGTGTCAAAAGAATAGAAAGAGGCTACTTATTCCCTTGTTCCTTCTAATTGTAAGTAGTTGACAGTTGTTCCCATGTCTGGCTATAGTCATCTTAATCATAAATCCACCTCCTATATTTGGAACCTTACCTCTTACGTTGCCTTCTTGTGCTTACAAGTCAAGACTAGTGAACTGTAATTGCCTCTCTGCTTACGATAAGAAATTTGCAAATGCATGCAGGGTGTACTTTCCGATGGGACTTCCATAGCAGTTAAACGACTTTCAAAGAAATCAAAGCAAGGAAGCCGTGAGTTTGTAAATGAAGTTGGTACTATTTCAGCTCTGAAGCATCCACACCTTGTCAAATTAAAGGGATGTTGTGCAGAACACAACCAACTTCTACTTGTCTACGAGTATATGGAAAATAATTCCCTTGAACATGCATTATTTGGTATGGACAAATTTTTCAATGCACCCCTTTTATTAATAAATGTCCTTATACTGTAGTTTAAAATTGTGGGAGTTGGGTTATTTACAGGTTCAGAGGAACTCCGATTGAGACTAAATTGGAAGACCCGGGTTAAAATTTGTTTGGGCATAGCAAAAGGTCTTGCTTTTCTCCATGAAGATTCACATCTGAAAATTGTCCATACAGATATTAAGCCAAAAAAAATTCTTTTAGACAAGGATTTCAATGCAAAGATATCTGATTTTGGTTTTGCTAAACTTTATGACGAGGGAAAGGCACGTGTTACCACCCAAGTAGTTGGAACTACGTAATGAAACTATCTCTGTCTCTCTTATTAAAAACTTGTACTTTTGATTGAGATAAATGCAAGGTCGTCCTCATTGTGGATGTCTTTTGCAGGATATATATGGCACCTGAGTATGCCGCCCATGGTCACTTAACAACTAAAGCAGACGTTTTCAGCTTTGGAGTAGTCACACTTCAAATTGTCAGTGGGAAGGAGATTGTAATTTCCATATCGGATGGTCAAAGTGCCTACCTCATAGACCGCGTAAGCTAAACTCTTTTTTTTACTGTTTTGTGTGTTTTTTCAAAAAGAATGGTAAAAATCACACGGACCCCTCGAGTTTTGTTGACATACAAGAACACTACTCGGCATTCGACACAATGAACCCAATTGTTGGATGATGTTAATAATTTTACCAAAAGACCATTTTACCTTTTATTTTACTGGTCAAAACTAAATTAATATAGACAGATTCTAATTCGTCCATACTAAAACTAGATATATCCTTAAAACTAAAACTAGATTTGTGTATTTAGGCGATGAACAAATTAATTTAATCATTGAAATTTAGATTAGGCTTGTAGATAAGTTGTTTATAATATTATAAATAACATATTTATTTTGGTGACGAATTTTTTAAATTACAATGAATGTGGTGTTAATAACTAAGATTATTTAATTATCAAATTATTAATAAGGGACATAATTGTCTCTTCAAATGAAAGTTTGGGGGCAGTATTGTCCTATAAATCTTAGTCTGTTTTTTTTTTTTTTGAAAATAGGACGCATTACACCAGCTGAACTATGGACTCAATTTTACATTGCCCCTTGAACTATTGAAGTTTTTATATTGTGCCCTCAACTACTTGAATTATTTCACATTGCCTCAAATGTAATTAGTCATCTAGCTTTTTGGGCGGAAATTGTCAACGTATCAAGGGAAAGTGAAAAAAATAACATAATTTGGGAGGCAGAGTGAAACGATTTTCCGTTAAATCTATAACGGACGTTAATAATTGGGGTGATGTGAAACTGATCACATAGTTGAGGGTATAATGTGAAAACATCATAGTTCAAGGGGCAATGTGAAAAGGGTCATAGTTGAGGGGGTGAAAATATAATTTTTCCTTGCAGATATTTTAGTTTTTTTGGCTGGCTTCATGGTTTACCATTATCGTACTTACTATTACAACTTTTCAATGTCCAAAAATCTCCATGTATTTTTTAGCTGTCGAGGGATGTCCGTGAACTACAACACCACTTATGGGTTCGTGTGATTTTTACCCTAAAAGAAATATCATCTTGAATGAAGAATTTGTTCGACAGTTTCAAAAATGTCTTTCTCTAAAATTATTGGATGCAATAAAACATTGCAGGCTTATGTTTTGCAAAGGGAGGAAAATCTTGTAGAACTAGTTGACACAGCCTTGGAACTCGACTACAACTCTAGGAAACAAGCTGTGGCAATATTGGATTTAGCAATGATGTGCATTAACCCATCCCATACACTCAGGCCCAATATGTCTCAAGTTGTGAAAATCCTTGAAGGTAAGAGTAAGATAAGCCTCTTTCAATCCCCTCAATCCGGGAGCACTTCACAGGAAGGAGCATCAGACACTACTCAATCTTATTCTGTCGGAAAGGAAATTGTAGAATCCATTGTATCTCCCAATTATACTATTGAGACGATCACCGAACAGATGGGGATATCAGAAAAAGGAGACATCTTAGCTTCTGAATGATGGTTATGTTGACAAATAAACTCCATGTTTTATTTTTGTTTTGGGAGTTACGTATTTTGCATTATGTTCATTCGTGTGTTTTGTGTTGATTGTGTGTAAAGTAATGGATGAGTGATTTTGACATTGTCATTGGTTCTGGGTATAGTAATGAAAGTGGGATGTTAATGTAACGTTGTTTTTCGTCTTGTATATTTTATATAATCTAGCCAATTTGGTGTGATTGAATGGAAGGGTTCTAGTTTTATCCTATATATATATATGTCAGTTTTTGGAGTTACGGCATTATAGCCCTCTTGTCTCTAACAGGTTATTTGCATGAAACCACTTGTCGTTATAGGCATCGTGTGCCACCTAATGGCTGCCATGTTTTGGGCATATTTTTAATTGAAAACATTGTTTCTTGTATACTAAAGTTATGCAGCTTTTGATTCCATGTTCCATGTCTTTGGAGGTGGTTTGGTTGTCATTCACAGTAATTGTGAATTATCGAGCGGGTTGGAGTTGCTCTTATGGTTGGATGTTCAAACCTTCTTAGGCTCATACATCCTTGTAATGTGGGAATCTGAAGGTGGTTCTCACCATGCCAGCGGGCCAGTGTGCCGTCCCGCCTGATCAGGGTGCACTCCTAGTACACAAATTATGTGGCCTTCAGAACACGATGTCAATAGCTTAGATACAAATTGTAATGTGCTGAATCCCATTGTACAATGTTGTCCTCTTTGGCCTAAATCTACATGTCTTTAAGACTCGTCACAATTACCAATTATAAGCATTGCGCTCACATGTAATACTGTCACCATATTGAAGTACTTCATCAAGAAAAGCTTGAAACAGTTTGGAAACATCTTCCCAATCCACCCCCTCGAATGGTTTATTATGATTTACGCGGTGATCAGTTTGTTGTCCCTAACACAATTTTAGGCTTCACTGTTTAGGCAATTTATTTTTTTGTATGCCTCCGATGGGTTCCCTATGATTTATTTTTTGAGTAAATTACACTTTACCCTCTTAAACTATTTCCTTTGTTTTATTTTACACCGTTAACTATAAAATTTCTCACATTACAGCAAAATGTATTAATTTTATTTCATATCACTCTAATAAATATCAAATTCGGTTTTGAAGGTATTTATAAAATCTAAATAGTTTTAAAAATGTCAGTTCAACTAACATCTCTGACTTAAAATCGTCACTATAAATAACATCTTTGTTCTAAAAATGTCTATTTTCAAGGTACATTTGCTCTCGGCATCCACCTTAGATCCAATTCCACATTTGATTTATAAGCATTTGCAGACACTAACTGGGCTGGATGTTCAGAGACTAGGCAATCCACAACTGGCTTTTACACCTTGTTGGGTAGCAATTGCATCCCTTGGTGCGCAAAAAAAAAAAATGCAATCTTTCGATCAAGCACTGTAGTTGAATATCGCTCAAAGGCTCACACCACAACAAAATTAACATGGCTTGCCTCCCTCATTTGCGATCTTGGTGTTCGTGTTCGTGTTCAGCTGGACAAAATTTATGTTCTCTTTTGTGAAAACTTAAGTGCTCTCCACATGAATGTCAATCTAGTGTTTCATATTTGTAACAAACACATCGAGATTGACTACCACTATATCTTAGAACGTGTTGCTCTTGGCCTTTCTTCAAATGCGGCTTGTCCCGTGTTCTCACCAACTAGTATACATCTTCACCAAACCTCTTTCTCGGTTTGATCTTCAAAGACTTTGTGCCAAATCATCTTCACCAACTAGTAAACATCTTCGTGGCCTTTCTTCGAGATTGAGGGGGTGTATTGGAAGTAATTCCCCTAATGGCACTCTATAAGAACCAAATAAAGAAAGAGCAAGCAGTTTTTTGATCATAATACAATTGGAGGACACAAGCCTGTTAAATCACTCCCCAACGGCTAGTGTCTTCTTGCTATGTACACAGTGCCGGCCCACCTTTAGGCCACTTAGGCCATTGCCTAGGCCCCAAATTTGAAGAAAAAATTGATGTTCTAAAATAAAATAAACAATGATATATAATTAAAACTTTAGAATATAATTTAAATATTCCATATATTATAATCATTGAATTAATAGTGAGCATTAACTTTAAACAAAATTCACTATTTATCTAATTTATTTGATCCTCAAATTAAATGCAACTAACATTATTGTCAAAATTTTAGAACCTCTTTCCAAAAAATTTAGTGTCCTAAAGTTCAACTTATTTTTTTATCTCACCCGATATTTATATTATATATATTATCACTTTGTAGTCTTTTTATTCAAATCTATTTTCTATCTTATAATTGGTACGAATAATAATTTTGTTTACAAAGTAGAAGATGACTATAAAATAGAGTGAGTAGAAGTAGTGCAATAACTATTCTTTTTTTATTTAAAAATAACTCTTTTTCTCTATGATATCTAACAACTAGCGATAACTCATGTCCAAACGTACGATGCAACGCAAGTGAGAAGTGAAGGATTTAGGGGGAAAAATTTAATTTGAATGATTTTGAGAGAGATGTTGATGGTCATTGAATAAATCTATTTGAGACAGTCGGATGAACATATTGAAACCTGTTATGTTATATATTATAAATGTCTTACTTATTTTAGGACTATTCAACTTGTATAAATTCTTATTTTTATATGCATTTAGAAAAAAAAATCATTTTACCACTTAAACTAATCTTCAATTATGTTTCTTTTTTATCTTAAACAAATAGTATGTATAATTATATTTGATCTTTGTATTTGACTTCGATTAACACAATTTTTATTTATAAAATTTAAATTAGTATGTCCTATCTCAAAAGACAAAACAAATAATTTATTATCAGCTGCTCTTTCATATGCCCTTATCAGTTCCAGCTCACAGCTCACCAGTCCACTCCTCAGCTGGATCCCCTCGGCTCTCTTCTTACAGCTCAGGCTACTGGATGTCGCAGCTTCAACTATCAGCTCAGCTACACTCTCACGGCTGCTGTCATTACTGCAGCCCACTTTTCAGTTGCATCTTTCTGCTGACTATTTTATTTTAGGAGCAGCATGTTTAGAATTTATTTCTTTTATTTATTATGTACTAAGCATGCATTTTGCTCTCTTTTCAATTTTTATTCCACGTAATTAGATTGCATTGAGTGGTAAAGTACATACGTCCCCTCTTAGCTAGGTGTAATTTAATTTTTTAATCAATAAAATCTCCCTCACACCGTCGAAATTCCACCAAAAAAAGAAAAATTATTGCTGAATAAATATTTATAGTACCTCGTATAACATTTTTGCCCAGTGCCTAGGTTGGGCCACCCCTGTATATACAGCTTGTATAATATATAGATGTGTATCAATGAACAACTTGATAGTAGGAAGTATAAAACAAAAATACCATCTGTTCTTTCCATTCTTCAATAAACATGTAAAATTAAACATGTCAAGTTAAAGTTTATGATGAATAAACTTTAACTTGACGTAATGATAAGATCTATTTAAAACTCCATGTACAATCTGGTTGCTCTCTCTCTCTCTCTTGTGCAGCATAATATCACAATTTCAAGGAATCAATGAAGATACTCTAACTTGTCAGCATGAATTGCGTCATGGACAGAATATATCTCCCTTTATAGCCCACTTCTTATTAAAATAATCTTCTGGGTTTTGCCTTTGTCTCCCACTAATAAGCTTTGTTTAATTCTAAGTGTGTGTACACTGGAAGTCTTTACAATGAAACGATGCAAAAGTTTCACTCTCCTCTGTGATATGTCAATTATTATATACTTTTTTTTTGGTTTAACAGTCAGAGGTATTTGGGTTAATTTATACGTACCTCTACTAATCTCTTTCCTAGATCAAAATCAAGCAATCTATGTCGAGACTAGAATATTCATAAGGGATAAATTCCCTCATGACTTGGCAAACTCTGAACGTCTGAATAAAAATTATATCATATTACTTAAAATGAAAAACTTGGTAAAAATCTTAATCAGCACAACATTATTGCTTTTGCCAACCTAGGATTCTATACAATGTGGTAAAAAATGATCAGCATCTTTTGTCGGTGTATTTTAAGTCATTAGCGGAGTCTACAAAGCTTAAGCATATTCTTGTTGAAGACCGTTAACAGGAGTCTTCGTAAAGGGCGGATATAGAGTGGGGGCAGTTGAAGAATTAAAATTTAACCCGATTAAAAAGTTTAGCGATAGTTTTATATTCTAGAAAATAAGTGAAATTCAATTAGTAATGAGATAATTAGACTCGAACTTCACTGACATAACTCAATCTCACGACCCTCATCCCTCATTAGTTTTTCTTGGATCTAGTGAATAACTTTACAGTATGTGTACTTCTCATGTGTACATATTGCGTCTATTTATAAAAATAACGTTTTAATATAATGATTTTAAGTTATTCCCACTACATAAAATTCCTAACTCCATCTCTCTCTTCATGTTTGAAGTAGAGTCATTCATCGGATCGACATTTTTCAGCTATTGCTCGTAGCATTGAAGCATAATTTTAGTTAAGGGTTTAGTCATAAATAGTTGACTCATCACTCAATTTGATAAATGAATCAAAATCAATTTTAATAAAAAGCGATTCACAAACAATGGAAACATCAATATAAGAACGTCAAATAATGATCGAATAAACTTTAACACGAGATGATGAATCTTATTTATTCAACTCTCTGTATATAATGTGGATCGAATAAATTTTTACTTGATATGATAATAGGATCCATTTAAAACTCTATCTGTACAACCTGCAGGTTTCCTATCATCCCCCCCCCCCCCCCTCCCTCCCGTCTCTGTCTCTCTCATGTAGTAGACCATGTTTGACACATGCACACGTAACACACTCTTTCTCTCTCCTCTTCCATTATAATATGGGGACAGAACATCTCTCTCTTTATAGCCCAATTTTTATTACAATAATCCCCTGCGTTTTGCCTTTATCTCCCACGAATAAGCTTTGTTTAACTCTAAGTGCGTCTAGGCTCTAAGTCTTTACAATGAAACAATACAAAAGTTTCACTTGCCCGAGTGATATGTCAATTATTATATACTTTTGCAAACATAGGATTGTGTTCAATGTTTATCACCATCTTTTGTCAGTGTGTGTTAAAGTCATTAGCGGAGTCCACAAAGTTTAATCATATTGTTTTGAAGGCCGTTATAGGAGTCTTCCTCAAATGGAAGATTTAAGATTGGGTTAGACCATAAGAGAATTATCCTGAGTTCAAA